ATAAGGGATTATTGAGATATTTGGCTATTTGAAGGATTGCATCATCAATGTATGAGCCTTTAGACCCGACTGCTCTACAGAAATGGCAGAACCTTGCAATTCCACCGGCTAGAAATAAAGAAAAAATGGGAACTGAAATAACACATTGCAAAATTCAAAACTCAATAAAGGATTTTAATTTTTTTTTAAAAAAAATCACATTCATCAGTGCTACAGCCATTGTGGTGGGAGATACAGGCTTGATTTCAAAGGCGCTTTCAGTGTTGCAGAATTCTAAGGGTTTATGCGATGAAATGTCAGGATGTGTTGTGAGTGATGAAGAAGCTGAGAAGCTGTCATGCACCAGCTTCTCATGCATGACTGCAGTCCAGCAAGGCCAAGACAAGGAGTTTCATTCATTCGAGCATCATGGGTCCACACGGGCAAAGCAGGAGCAGACCCTTTCTACAGTTCATGTTTGCAGAGGTAGGCATTCAGCTTGTGGCATGGCACAGCTTTCCATTTTGTGAAATCTATTCAAAGGAAAGGAAATCTCCTGTTATAGAATGGAGCTACAGCCAGTAACACTGGGGACCAAATAAACAAACCAAGATTGGCCAGAACCCCATCTTAGATTACATGCATATCCACTCCTATATTCAAGTAGTCAGGACAGGCCTAGATAAGATGGCACACTGAGAATTAGAAAATGCCAATGTGTTTTCGCTCCGGGGACACATGCCTACAAATCTCCTGTGCCTGTGCAAGCAACATTTAAATGAAGTCCATGCTTGTTCCCTCTATGAACAATCACAAAACACTAGCTCCCACTGGGAGGGAACTACATGGAAATCTCTTCGTTATTTCCCAGTGTGCTTTATATCCCATATAGCCTATTCTGGACACCACCCTAAATTAGCTTATTGCCTTAAATGTGGTGGAAGACACTGTCCCATTAAAGCAAAATGTGTCATCTTGTCCACCTCAGGAGGTTGCCTCCAAAGGATTCAACTTAGGCACCTCTCGCTATAAGGACTCTTGAGGTGCTCAACTCCAACCCAGGCTCAGCATTGATGGCTGAAGATGGGTTCGGCAGTGCTGTGGCCTCCACTACTGGTCCTCTTGATACAGATGGTTCCTCCCCGTTCATGTATGTCACAATCTTGGTCATACTTTTGGGACACAACAGCAGAGAGACTAGTTCCTGCACAATGTAAATGGTAAGAGATGCTACGTAACATTAGAGATGGGCACAAACTTTGGTTCTGAGGTCCGTGCCAGTTCCGAAGTGCAGGGGCCGTGTGTTCCCCTTTCCCACCTCCCTGGTTAGATTCTCCCACTCACCAGCTGGTGCACACTCCTCTCCTCCTCCTCCTCCTCTTCAGCTGTTCAGCCAATCCCCGGCAGGAGCACAGGCTTCCCTGCCTCACCTCCTTGGCTCACCGCCCACTCGGACAAGGAGGCAGGACAGGCAAAGCTGTGTCCCTGCCAGGGACTAGCTGAACAGCTGAGGAGGAGGAGGAGAGGAGCACCTTCTGGCTGGTGAATGGGGGCATTGGCTGGGCAGGGAGAGGAAATGCACGACACCTGTGAACTGACGCGAATCTCTGAGCCGAGGTTTGTGCCCATCTCTGCTTAACACAAAAGGAACTCTCCTAGACAGCAACCCAAACATTTCACCTTTGTGGTGGCTAATGGGTCTTTCTTCTATTTCTTCAACTCTGCCAATCCTGGGAACTGGTGCTCCATTCACTGAATTCAGCAACTCAACGCAAAATCCATTCTCCTCTTGGTTGTTGTGTGACCCCAGCGCCCATGCTTTATAGTTGTAGACAGACTCATCCGACCATCTCCACTTTCCATTCTGCAGGGTGAAGAGGAAAAAGCAACACAGAAGCAAGTACTTCTATTATATGTTTGTGTTATTATTTTGTAAGCTGCCCAGGGTGAAGAGTGAGTGAGTAAATAAACAAACAAACAAATAAACAAATGCTCAACTTAGGCTGGTAGAAGCACTATGTGACAAAATTGGCTAAGACAATTGAAAGATCAGCTGATTGAAGAAACCTCTTTCTTATAATTAGACGAATGCCACAGGACTTCTGGAAAATCCTAGAACTGACTCTTCAGGAGTATGGTTGTGTCAATGTCTTGCAAGCAAAGTCCAGTAGTAATAATTCTACATTTTAAACGGATGTGGAGGGGCCTTATTATGTCAAAGAAGGAAAAGACTGGATAGAATGGGTTGGAAAGAAGTGTCCAAGGAATCATTACAATTGTGTTTTTAAAGTGACAGAGTGTGGTGCAAAAGCTGAAAACAGCTATGAAACAAGAGTTTAGTGGGCAGACAATGGAGTCATAGGGGACCACATGAGAAAGGGACACTTGGTCACATGAGAAATCTGATGGAAATGACCCTAAATGCAGAAGATACGGATGTATTGCTAGAAAATGCAGAGTGGAGAAAGTTCATAGAATCATAGAATAATTGAGTTGGAAAGGACCTAGACGGCCATTAAGTGTAACCTGAATCATAGAATAATTGAGTTGGAAAGGACATATACAGCCTTTAAGTCTAACCCCTGCTCAATGCAGAAATCCAGGTCAAAGCAGATCTGACAGATGTATCCAACACATGAATGTTCATGCAGGCACATTCTGGAATAGCAGGCAGAGATTATAATGAATAAACTAGAAGAGTTTAAAGACAAGCTACAGATCACGGATGATGCTGGCATTGAAGTGGCAAGCCGTGAAAGCTAATATGGTTGGGATCCCCATGCTTAAAAGGGAAAAACAACAACTGATTAGATGAGTGTGAGAGATGGAAGTGAAGCAGGAAGACGAGAAGAAGCAATGTCCCATTACTGTGGTTGCCGAAAAGAAGCTAGAAAAGGACAGACTGGAAGAGAAGACCCACATAAATTCCATTAATGAGAAGCAGGAAGACGAGAAGAAGCAATGTCCTATTACTGTGGCTGCCAAAAAGAAGCTAGACAAGGGCAGAATGGAAGAGAAGACCTACATAATTCCATTAATGGGAGTCACACTGAAGTGGTCAAACCATTCCCGAAGTCACACAATCGATATTGCCACAGGTCAAAGAGAGTGACAGCAATCTGAAGCACATGAAAGCAGAGTTTGTTCAAAGGAAGGAAGAATCTGTAGCTAGGCACAAGAAGATGGCCCTTGCGTTTGCCAAGGGATTGTGGATTAGATCATCTCTACCTGGGGGGAAACTGGAGGAAGAGCAGTGAGATGCAGAATGATTGAACAGTTGGTTCAAAGAAGCCAACTTGCAGACCAGTGAGACAAACACAAACCTGAAGGCAGATTGTCATAAGGTCCAGAAGAATGAAAAAGCTTGCCAGCAGTATGAGCATCAGAGCAAGAAGCTTTAGCCCAAGGTGCAGGAAATGGAAGGTGCTGTGCAGCTTAAGGAGAAGTCTTCCATCATTGTACTGGAGGCACAGACAGTACAACTTGGGGAAGAGATGAATGCGGAGACAAAGGAGCATCAAGCCACCAGCAAGCAGGTATAACGTGAAGAGAAAAGGCCAATGGAAGTTGTTCTGCAAGTGGAGGATAAGAGATGTAAAGTTTAGGGGGGGCAGATTCTAAGCGGCAACGGTTTGCATGCTTGCAAAGGAAGAATGGTGTGGGACTCAGAAGGAAATATGAAAGCAGCAAACTGCACCACGAGGTCCAATCAAGGTGGTTCCCCCAGACCTTGATCTGCAAATGCATGAAATGAGGTGACTCAAAAGGCTTAAGGCAGGGCCGAGGAAAATTTGGTCCTCCAGGTACGTGGGGCTGCAGCCAAATGGTAAAGAATTATGGGAGTTGTAGCATAACACAGCTGGAGGACCAATGGTTCTGCTTAAGGGGAACCAGCCTGATTCTACCAGAAAATGTAGATGGACACTGCAGATCTTAGATGAGCTACTTGTATAGACTGCATCCATTACAATCCCTTGGCCAAAATGCACACAGGATATGAAGATACTTAATTTTGTTGTTGCTGTTGGGGGAGGTGGCAGTCGGGGGGGGGCAAGTGTGTAGCCGTTTGTCCATGCTTACATGTCGGATGTCATGCAGTCCAATCCACACGCTGCTGCGTTCAGCCTGATAAGCAGAGATGTGATCAGCCACAACAAGTGTCTCGGCAACAGTGAGGACAGAGGCGAGGTGGGCCCCACGATGGTAGCTTTGGCACTCAATCTGCACAACAGCAAGGATGAGAGTTGAGAAGGTAAAATATAAATATGCAAGATATTCGCTCCATTTGCTGTCTTTGCACAATTGCATCAACCAGCTGCCTGCCCTGGTTCTGCCTAATGGTAGGGACAGCTATACCCCACCCTAAAGAGGTGAAATTAATAGTTTTGGTGCCCAGGGTTTCACTGCCCAATGGATTAAGCTTGCATTTGATGAGTTTGGCCTACTCAGGAGGACAATAGTAGGGTACTGAGTGCAAAACACCTATATTGAGATCTCCTGTATTTTTTTCCATTTTGGGCAGGGGGCTGGAGGTTGTCCATCCATGTGAGGACACCAGGTTTTGCACCCTTTCAGCTGCAAAATACTGTACCACTGGATGAATATGTACCCTTCTAGCAGTAAAGGTTTGTATCCCATACATGGGGTGCCCTTGGACAAAGCCCTCGTTGCTGCAAGATATCTGTGGCTCTGCTCACTTTTCCCAGCTTCCCTCCTCCCTCTCAGGCCATCTGGCTTAAGAGGTACAGTATGAAAAGCTTTCCTTCTTGCATGTCGAAGTGTCATTAAGTTGACGTTCTTGGTTAGCTCCATCTCACCCAAGGCTTCCACCAGCATCTCACCTCAGCTTCGTGCCAGGTCAGCTTACTTTCAAAATAACCATAGCAGTTCCCTTGGTACTGAAGCCACTCCCGGGCACAGGCGTCAGCATTAACTGCTCAGGACAAACAGAAAGGACCAAGAATTAAGACAACCCCAGGGTGCAAAGGCTACACAAAGACTTACGTACATATCCATGAGCAGAAGGCCACTGGACGGGCAGTTGAACGTTACCTTGACACTAGCGAATGGATAAGGACCTCTCAGATTTATATGGGGAGCAGTCCAATTTAAGAGATATAGGACATTTGGTATAGGCACAGATGCCTCTGTCCTTCCAAATAAGAGGAGAAACCTGGACAGTTACTCAGGATAAATGATTGGGACTGACATTGTTGCCTCCCTTCATTCTCCATCTGAGGCCATTGTCTCACTCCGCCTAATAGTAGGGCCGGCCCGATCTCACTGTTTGAACTCACCAATTCATATCATTATCACCATCATCATAAGCAACAAAATAACACACACACACACACACACACACACAGACAGACAGACAGACACACATGCACTAAGAGTAATATAATCAAAAAACCCAACCCATACCTGAGTAAAATGGAGGAATGGAGAGGCACTACCACATTGGTAGCTTGAGTCCAGTAGCACAGGCTGTAGTCCACCAGGAGAAGACAGGCAACATTAAAATAAATGGAATTTATTTATTTATTTATTTATTTATTTATTTATTTATTTATTTATTTATTTATTTATTTATTTATTTTTATCCCGCCCATCTAGTCAATAGACTACTCTATTTCTAGTTGACATTTCCCAAAACTTGGACAAAAGAATAACTTGGATAAGAGCATTTCTTCCCCTACAAATCTGATATGATTTGAGAAAAATCTGATATGATTTGAGAAAATCAAACACGTTTTAGCTGTGAAGGAGTACCTTACGGCTATCTAGCTCTCTTAGCGCTGAGGCATTCAGGAGACACTTACCTCCCATAAAAAAATTTAAAATTACAAAGTAGAAACTCGTAGCCCCCATTTCTCAGCTCACCTGAAGATTTAAACATGGAAATAAAAAGAAGAAGGCATAAGAATTGTCCAACTGGAGGACACATTCAGATGTACAGTGTACAATTTTCAGACTCTGAGACCCTCCTAGTTATTTGCTAGGACAAGATACAGATGCATCAGAGAAATGTCTGGGCAAAGGTAAGAGACCAAACGAAGACTGGTTGAGCCAGATAGCTCTAGTTGCCTATCAGTCATAGGAGCTAATGTTACATATTCTTGGCATCCCATGGTATAGCTGATGTCACATTGCCCCAGGTAGTTTACAAAGCAATATGTGGTTCTCATTCCACCAGGTTCTTCTTGCCAGCGTCAGAGTTTCTGGTATTGATCCTAAGCAGCTTGAGTCCAAGCTATCTAAAATACCATGTCTCCCTTTATGAACGTACCTGGGTATTAAGATCATCAGGAGAGGCCTTCCTCTTAGTCCCACCCCCTTTGGTGGGGACACACAAGAGAGGGCCTTCTCTGTTGCTG